TAGTTTCCTAATATTGCTCTATAGGGTCAATACTGGGAGCTATCTCCCACTGTGTACTTGAAAAATGTCAGTATTGTGCTTGAAACACACACACACGCACACACACTTAATCTGATGGAAAAATAGCTTGTGTCAAGGCCAAGACAGTCTGTAATTATCTAATTCCAACATTATTAAAGCAATAAAAGAATTAATGAGTCATTAAGCTCATCATTGTGATCTATTCTGTAAATTCCTCCTAAAACTCCCTTAATCCTCCTTCCTTTTTAATGTTTAGGAGAATTTGCCCTGATACTGAAGTGTAAACTTCTTTCTTTGACAAAGGAAGCTCTTGAGCTGCTCCATACATTTCAGTGATGGATGATCTTGATTCAGTAGAGGTGTCTGGCAACAACAATAGAAGTTAGCTGTGGCAGTGAAGGGGCTTCAAGAAGTTATTTCTACTGCAGCCATTTGAACTAGACTTGCTAATTAAAATCACTGCAGAAGTGATACATTTCTCACCCCTAATATGCAGCAGGCTTGGTGCTAGACATCACCAATTGACATATTTTGCATTCTTTCAGGCCATTATCATCCTAGACTAGAGAGTCAGAGCTGGAGGATTTTGTGGATTTCTTCTATGAGGAAAACAAAAGGGGAAGTATTTTTCATTGTGTGTTGGTTTGATGCTGAACATCCTCAGTTCTCCAGTTCATTTTGAGTTAAGGGGGTCAGCATCTTGCAGAATGAAGCCTTAAATAATCAGAACTATAATAACTGAAATACATTTTACAATCACTTTAGTATCTCTGTTTGTTTCAAGGAAAGTGAAATCTTCATCTACTGTTGAGTGCCCAACCCTTTCAGCATGAGAAATCTCTAGCAGGTTTTACCCATTATGGGTGGGATAGTAGAAGAACAGACGATGATTTGGGTTGGGATTAGGGAATTTAGTGTAGAACTGCCTGGCAGGGAGGAGGGAAATGTGGGTATTCCCCCATCTTATTTTTTTCTACTAAGAAGTCTACCTCCCTCCTTCCCAAATAAATTGGCACAAAGTTGTAAGAAGGATGAGAGAAACAGATTTTCCTCCGCATGGTGTTTGTTTGTTTTTTTTATTTCTTAGCCCCAAGTCCTTCCCCTATAATTTAGTCCTCTACCTGCAAATCTATTTTCCTTTAACAAACAAATAACAAGCAAGCAAACAAACCCTTGGGTGTATGTCCTACCTGGGGGGTTTATTTTTCCTCTTCTGTCACAAGTGTTTTTGTTGTGGAGAACAGGGTGAACCCAGTTAAGTAGGTAAGATTAGGCCATGATAATGGCCCCTCCTAGTCTGACAGATCTATGGATTTTCTATAATTTAGTCTTGTCATCTTTCTCTTTTGTTCTTTCCTCACCCTTTTAAATCAGTTCTCCGTTGCCTCTTTTTCTCCCTAGTTTTCATATACCCATATTGCCTTACTTTCTCCTTCTCTCTAACCCTACTAATTTACATTTTGGGCTGGATTATATACTGCTTTGCTCTTGGGTGGTCATCCACACCCCTGCAATGTGGGAAGGCAAGGCTACTCACCTGTGTGAGTAACTGTTTACTATGTCATACAGATGCAAATGACAAAATACCTGGCAAGGTATTGAGGTATCAGAGACATTGCAGTAGATTATTTCACTGATAGGGCTCAAACTAGTACTTAGCCATATAAGGCCAAAATACAATTTCCTTTTAGGTGGATAAACAGCACTTATGCAGCTCTAAGTAGCACACTGCATAAGTGGCATTTTGGCATGCTCAGAAGGAACACCTCCAGTCACTTGCACTAGATGCAAATCTTATGGAAAAGCATGAAAACACTAAGCACCCCCCCCCAAAAAAAAATCTCAACAAGCACCTGTTTGGAGGAGGAGGGGATCTCACACTTTTTAGTGACTTTTAGGACCCTTGACCAGAGAATGGGAAACCTAGCTGTAACCCCCCCACACATCCCTACTCTTCAGCAGTGCCAAGAGCACCCTCCATTGTTCCTGCAGAAGCTGAACAACCACTGAACAACCAGGAGAAAGAGACCCGTAGGGCCAGGACACCAGGTCAGAGAGAGGCACTAGCCTGGAAGGGTATGGATCTTGGGTTCTGGCCCTGTTCCCCTAGTAGGGATAGAAGTTATCTCATTGTTCCCTATCAGGTGACTAGTATACAGAAACACCATTGGGGGCAGAATCATGGCCCAGAACCCAAGACATTTTCCCTTCCAGGGGAGGTTTACAAATCCATCTCAAGTTATAAATGATGACCTGGAACATAGAGCAGTAGAATTGTTACTAACCTTAAAAAAATCAGCAGAGGGGACTAGTTTAGAAAAATATTAGATTATTTTTTTAAATGAAGGGAAAGATTTAGACCCTGATCATGTACTAGATTGCATGTAGGGTACCACAACATGAATTTCATAGTTTGTGAGAAGTGCACCCAAAGTATAGGATTACACACTATTTAGACTCAAGGCATGCCTCAATAACTCAAGGCACCCCTCAAAAAATCTCAGCTCTTAATTTTCACTTTTATTTTGACTAAAGAGCATTTTTCTGCTGCTTAGAATGCAATTGAATCCTCTGTGAAACTCTGGGCTTATGTTGTGAATCAGGTTTGCTCACCTAACTGTGCTAACATTGTGTGGCACCCCACAGAATCCTTGAAAATCTCCGAAGGCATCCTGGGTTGCCACAGCATCCTGGTTTAGATTCAGTGTTTTAACTTTAAGATGAGGCCTCTTGTAGGCTGGAGTTAAACTGGCTTCACAACAGAAACTGCTAATGTTTAACTAGAAGCAAGGGTAACTTGCAAATACAGAAAATCCATTAATTTGAGATTCCTTATGCAACATTTACCATGGTCTCTAGAGTCAAAGCTTTTTCTTTCATGAAAAAGTGCTGAGGAAAGCCAACATGACATAAATTACTATCTTGATTGTTTTGTAGCTAAACACAGAAATAGGAAAACTACTAACAGAATTGTGAAATGCCACTATTCACCGTACTTGAATGTTAGTGTGTAAATCCATGTTGGGCATTAAATGCTTGCATTTTAATACCGCTTTGTCTGAAATAGAGTCAGCATTAATCACGGATAACTAAAAGAACAATAATGGTGTCAATGTAGTCATTTTTAGCACTGGACTCTGCTTAACTGGGAAACTCCACAGTTAATATGTAAGTGATTTCTGCTCCCCTCAATTATAACATGGAGGAATGGTCTTAGTATGGATAATGTCAGTAGAGCAGTGAGGAAGGATGACCTTATGGGAAATGCCCAGGTTTAGGACTCAGGACATCTGGGTTCTTATCCTCGTTATGACAGGGTTCTTAGAGAAGTCTTGGAAAAAGTGACCTGTACTTCGTTTTCCAAAAGTGTGAAGTGTTTTAAAGCTAAAGCAGAGCTTGCATGCCAACAAGGAATAAAAGACCTTGGTTAGAAGTTCAGTCATGATTTGGTTTGTTAATGAATCCTTGGAGGAAATGAACATTCTCATGCAGCGTCTGCTATAAACCTGTGTTTATTTCGGGTCCAGCTCATTTATTGACCAAAGTAATTGAGATGCCCTACATCTCTGACAGGAATGTTCTGGAGGGGGTACTGAGGTATAGGGTGCTGGGGTTTGACACTTGGATGCTAATAAACAAGGCATGAACTTGAACTCCATTTGCACCTCCCTGTGCTGAGAACAAGAATAGAAAATGATTACCTAAAGGCACAAGTTGCATGCTTTTAACCTAACAGCAAACTCACTTTTGAGTATGTATGCTTATACCAGTTTAAAGTGGGTTATGTCAGTTCAGTTTGCACCTGTAAATGCAGAAGTGTAAGCTAAGCCTCTGTAAAGCAAGTTTAAATTTACAGTCTCCATGTGCATATTTGAAACAACTGAACAGAATTGGTTTGAAAATCATACTAGTGTCACTTTAGTCATAGATTTGTGTTTGGAAGGGAACTCAAGGATCATCTGGTCCAATTCCTTGCATGAATGAAGGAATGCTATTCATAAATCATCCCTCCCCAATGCTTTTTCAGCCTCGTCTTGAAAACCTCCAGTGAAGGAGTCCCCTGCTGACTTACTTCTCTAACAGTAAGGAAGTTTTTCCTGATACCTAATCTAAATCCACTTTGCTACAATTTAAAGCCATTGCTTCACATCCTGCCCTCTGCAGCACAGGGGAATTGATACCTCTTCTTTATGGCAGCCTTCTAGATATTTAACACTGTTATCATGACTGGCTTTAACCACCTTTCCTCCAAGCTGTTAATATAACTCCCAAAATCTCTGCCTGAGGCAGCGCCAAGACCAAACTGAAAAACGGTTGCTTAAGAGTTTATATAATGGGGTTGAATGGGTATGTCTGCGTTGTAGTCATGGAAGTAACTTTGTTTTAGTCATGGAAATGCTTCAGCTAGCTTTAAACTACTTAGCTCAGGCACTGATACTGGTATAGGTACTCCAGCACAAAGATCAACATGGACTGGAAAATCCACCCAAGAAACAGGGTAAATTAGCTGGCACTGCACCTCAGGGACCCTACAACTGGGCTTCTACTGGTACTTAAACTATCGCTGCTGTCTGTATGCTGCATGGTTGGGGGTATGAAGATGCATTCTAAAACTGGGGAAGTTTTTAGTTTATTTACCACTTAGGTTTATAAGCAACTGTTATAAACATCAACCCTTGAAGAAAATACTTTGCTGAATCTTTTTTCTAAAACTGACTTATTCTACTAGTTAACTGGCATGTTCTTGGCATCTTGAGCTGAAGGCCCAAAGGACATTGCTAAGTGATAATCATCAGCCATACTAGGATGACTCTTGACTGAAGGACAACTTATCCGGAAAACACACAAAAGCAATAGGAAACAATGGACTTCCCCTTTCTTCTGGTACTGCTTGCAGGCATCACACCTTAAGAACTTCTGAAGCTCAGATCCACTCCTAACAATCCTGAAAAACTTCGGAGAGACAGCCAGACAGATTGTTTTCAGGAGAACATTAAATAGTATTTATTGAGTCTGCAATGGCAAGGGCAAAACTGTTACACTCTCAGCCACAGCTATGGTACAGAGCGTTCTTTTTTTGCCCATTCAGGAAACAGTCCATCTTAACAATGCATGAAAAAAATGGTAAAGACAGGTTTTTTAACATCATATTTATGCCTTCAATTTTGTATATAGCAAACTATCCTTAATGTCTTGTTCTTCTTCATCAGTACATTCCCCTCCCTTTTAAACTTGATCCCTCTTAATGATTGGGGGGTTGGCTGGGAATGATCAATCCAAGTGTGGAGGAAACCAAACCAAGTGCTCTGGTGGTGCTCAGTTGGAGGAGCAGAGTGACAGATGAGCAGTTAATGGGGAGATACTTTCTTGTGAGTCATATTATGGACAGAATCTTGGTGGAGGGAGGGAAGCTTCAGGGTCTTTATCTGGAGAATAGTGAGGCCTTCTTAGGAGGCCTGTGTCTCAGACTGGGTCAATTCTCTGAATGCCCATGGACTACAAGCCACCAAGAGGCTTCTCACAGAATCTTGTGGCAGAGCCTGTTCAAACATGTTAGCTCATATTAACATTTCGTTTTTAACAGGGTGACCTCTGAAGCATTGTAGAAAAGACATTGGCCTATATACACAATGGTATTTACAGACTAAATGGCAAAAGAGGAAATTAGATACAGTGACATTTATATACAGGCATTAGCAAATGAAAAGGTCCCTTGTGTTGATTCAGGGTTGTTCACAGTTCGTTTAAGAAAATCCTTTTCTTTGAGCATCAGCTCTTTTGTTTTGCAAACAAGCCAGAGCCAGCTTGATGTCTCATTGGGAAATACAGATGTTTGCTCTCACTTAAACCATGGTCATAACCTTTAGAGAAGCAGGTTGGAATCTCCTAATCTTCTTCTTCAGTGCCTTTGAGGCTTTAATGCGGCAGATTTTGGGCATCGGGGGAAGAGGTTTGGAAGAGGTTTGGACTGCTGCAGATTGCCGGACAGATGTTTCAGGCCAGATCAACTCACTGTCATCTCCATCGTCATAGTCAAGAGTGAAGCTGCTACTGTGGCTACTGCCATCTGAATCACTTTCACTGGATTCACTGTCCCCAAAGCGGTTGGCTGTGTAGTCACTAACCTCACCTTCACTGGTCTCTGCAATGGTGGAGTGAAAGAGGGAAGCACATTCAGCAGAGTACTCAGAGTGGTCTGACTCACTTTTGGCATACATTTCATGGTGGTGAGGCTTTGAACGTGCCCTCACGCTCACAGCACGCAGGACCCCTGCTCTCCTTATGGGCTGTCTTGGAGGCCCAAAGCCAAAACCACTGGCAATATGGGCCTTCGCTGAGATCTCCACAGTGGACTGCCACTTGCGCTGTTTCTTCTTGATGGCTGTGTCTACATAAGTAGTTTCAAGGGAATAGAGGGCATTAGAAGATGCCCTGTAAAGGTCAGGCTTGGATGGCACAGGGGGCATTCTGAATTGCACAGGGAACAGGCTGGATTCTGAGCAAGATCTGCCTGTAACCTCCCCAGCATAGGTAGGTCTCCTAAGAAGGCCCTTTGCTCCATGCTGCCTCTGGGACTGATGGCATTCAGCAGGGAACCTGGCAGCCAGGTGGACTGCCTTTGGCTTTTCTGTACAATAGCTTGGCTTCCCAGGCCTGGGCAACTTCTCACTGTTCCTCCTCTTGATTTTCACAGACTTCATTTTGGAGTTGGCAAACCTCACTCTAACTCGATGGGATTCTGCAGGGACAAACTGGGCATGGACAAATTCACCCTGAGCTGGTAGTTCGTGACCTCTCACATTAGCCACTTTGAAGCTACTGCCCCTTCTGTTAGGCTTTCTGGGCAGGAGGGCTTTCATGTTGAAAGTGCCCAGACTGTCATCCTCGTGGCATGGCTGCGAGCTGGAAGAACTGTGCTCCAGGCTGTTCTCCCTTGCTTCTGTCAGAGGAGAACTCCTGGCAGTTGACTTGGCAGAGTAACAACTATTTACAGCTGATGGCTCTGTGTCAGGCATGGTGGATGCCTGCTCTGCATTCACACACTGCACAGTCTCCTGCTGCTTGGCACATTCCCCCTCAGGCACCTCTCTCTGCAGCTTCCCTTCAGCTTTGTTACTTTCCAGAGAGCTCAGTTGTTTTTCCAGCTGGCTGTTGCTGCTGTTAATTTTCACTCCACCAGCAGTGGGGGTTATAATGAGTCTCTGGTGCATTGTGGATGGCTGGCTCTTTGTCGAAACCCGCTCAGTGGCAGCGGCCTGATTATTCCCTCTGCATCTTGTCAACTGGAGCAGTTTGTTGATGTAACCCCCTGGCCTGGTCTCAATGACTGGCCTAGTCCTAATCAAGCTGGGACCTGTCACAGCAGGTGTGGATTTACTGGGGGGAGCATGATTGTCTGTTTCCAGGGGCACCCCCACCAAGGAAAAAAGAGGGCTTTGTAAAGCCACAGCATGAAGGGGACTTGGGTAAGGGTAGACATCATTGCCGTTCCTGGAGACCAAGTCATTCTGGTATTTGGGGTCTACGTTGTGAAACTGATGTTCCCCTCCATGACAAACTGGAGGCATAGACTTGGGGTCTGTTGCTTTCTGAAATGCAGTGTCTGCTGATACAAGCCGTTCTAGGTCACCTGGAGGTTGGACAGGAATTAACAAAAGAGGTAAAATCACAGGTCATGCCACTTTACCTTTTATTTCAGGGGCATAGTTCAGAGGGAGATGCCTGTGGATGAGAAAGTATATAGCACTTTCATTGGTATGCAAGTAATCATGACAAAAATGAGCTTCAATCCTTTAAGAGGCCCACCCTCTTTTGTACAATCTCTTGCAGGCATCTTAAAAGCATGAGGAAAACATGCTTTACAGTTCCCTCTATATAGGAGAGCTAAATGCAGTTGGCCAGGCTGTTCTCTGTTACCCCCCTTGTAAATCCTGTGTAATATGCCTTCAGTGTGGATTTACATGTCCATAATGGAAATCAGCATCTGATGCCCTGATTTTAAATAACTGAACCTGTGTATTACAGATGGTTTATACTGTGATCGTTTAACATTTGTGCACATAAAAAAATTGACCTTTAAAGATGCATGCGCTCTCACACACAAAACCCAACACATCCAAAACCTAATTATTCTTATTTCATGGAGAAAGATGGGGGACAAAAACAAAATAGAGGATCTAACTGCAACAAAATCTAAAACTGAGGTCATATAAAACAATCCAAAGATCTGTTAATCCTTCTTCCTCTGCACTAGCTGAAGACTCCCTCAGGGTTAGGTTTCTCAAAGTATCTGAGCAAACAAATTCCTGAGATTCCCAGCAGGCGAATGTCTTTGGAAATCTGTAGTCATCTACCAACTGATGTATAAGGGGCTTAAATAGAGCTAAAAGTAAAATGTCCCTTAATCTTGTAAATGCTGGAAACTATGGCTGTATTCTACACTGTACTTCAGTTAGGCATTACTGAACACTGGCGCTTTAAGTACACTGGAAAGCCATTTAAAATCCATATTGACTCAGAAACTTGCCATATGAGGCAGCAAAAAAGATAGTTACCGGTTCTCTCTTCCAAATTTAATGGAATCTCTAGACTGGATCTTTCGGGTCACTGGGTAGCAAGGTTGCAGTGCCTTGTACCTTTCTGACGAGAACTGGTTACTCGTCATTCAAGACTCCTAGAGTTTTTAATTCTAACAGCCAACATTCGGGGATTTCGTTAAATGGCAGAAAGAATTGAATGTTATGTCGTATATGTGTGTTTTTTTTCAAAAAGGCAATTTGAGGAGTGGGCTAAATGATAATCTTTATTGGCCAGAGAAAGAAAGGACAATGGGCTAAATCCTCAACTGTGTGAGAGAGATCCCTTGAACTTGGAGTTTCTGGGACCTAGTCCAGACCTCATCATACTTGGGAGTAACCTGTAGGCGGTTTGAAGTTAAACTTGGTTGCCCAGAGCCCCAAGGATTCCCTTTCTTCCAGGAAAACCTCCTTAGATTAGGGACCAGTAAAGGTGGTTTATAGCTCTTCACCACTGAGGGATTCCTTTGCATGCAAGATTCCTCAGACTGGAACTCTTAGTTGAATTTCTGTACAGTTTTTCACACCTACAAAGTAAAAGGTGGTCAGTTGATTTTCTTCTGGGACCCCGATACATTTTCACTTGTCTTACACAACAGCTTTAGGCCCTTCCCTTGTTTAATTTTAGACATATAGATGAATCCAGGATTTGTTTACATGAGGAAATATTCCTAACATTGTCTGAGCTGGAATGTGGGTAAGAATTTTAAAATCCAGTGCTTTTGCCCCCTTTTAAATGAAGTGGAGAGAACAGATTAATTTGTTCCATGGTGTAGTCAGAAGACAGCAGTAGATACCAGAAGAACTCTGTTTCTATTGTATCCATCAGCACAAAATTAAAAGCCAGACAAAAAGATACTAGTGTCAAACCCTGCTAATAATGTCCTAAGTCTAAAGGATTCTTAATAGGAAAGTATTCTGTTTAAGATTACATCCTGATTGTTGAATTAATATGCATGCAAATGTCCCAGGTACAATACTGTACAACAGAATTTTCAGTGGAATAGCTGCAGACAGCTTGACATTTAAGTCTCCCAGAAGATCTTTCTCATGGGACAGAAAAGGTCCTCAGAAATTGCAGAGCATTTCTGGAGCTTGATTTTTTTTTTTTTTTTTTTTTTTTTGCTTTGCTCTGTCAATATAAGCAGGTAGAAAGTCAGCTGATCTAAAAGTATATCTACACTGTAAACTGCAGCGTGGTACAGGGAAAAATCTTAGCTGGTTTTAGAAGAGTGTACTATAATAGAGCTCTGAAGGGGCTGATTTACCCTGCTGAGCAGCATTCTGTCAGCCAAAATCAGATGGGGGTTTCCTGTTGTAACTTCTGGGATCCTGGCGAAATAACCCAAGGGTAAAGCACTATCTGTGTAAAAGACTAAATGTAAGCCTGAAAAGCACAAGTGCTTGAGTTGAGAGGCTTTGATAAAATTTTTCTCTTTACCCAGCAATTTGCAAATGTTATATAATGTTACAACGGGGACCCATGTTACAACTGGGCAAACCAAAGATTTAGGAAGATTAATGGGTGTGCTCAAGGACACAGCCAGAATCCAGATTTGAATGCAAGATAAGCTCTCAGGTTCTTGCCGAATGACATAGGTCGTAGCACCATCCAGCCAAGGTCAAGTGACCTCTCTGTGTAGATCACCCCCCACTTAGAAACAGTAAATTCTGAAAACAACATGGGTTAGGTTGTCCACAGTATTTTGAATGCAGGTAGAGAGGTATCCTCATTTAAAACGCATTAAGAAATACCATATTAAGTTAAATTATTCCTATATATTCCTTGGTTTTTCTGAGCTCAGCAGTATACTCCCTAAACTCTACTCAAACAGATTAAGAAAAGACATATCATATTAAATGGCTTGCCCTTAAGGCACTCTATTCTCTACAGAGGCAGAATTTCCTATTTAGATTCTGGTAATCTGTGTGTGTGTGTGTGTGTGTGTGTGTGTGTGTGTGTGTGTGTGTGTGTGTGTGTGTGTGTGTGTGTGTGTG